CGCCCGGACGATGCTCTGCTCGGCGCCGGCGCTCCCCTTCTCCGCGCCGCCCCGAACGACGCCAACTCGGGCTCGGGCTCAGCTCCAGCTCGGGGTCCGGCTCGGACTAGCCAGCGCGGGCGGACGCGCGCTCAGGAAGCCCGAAAAGCAGCCCAGTGCCGGGAGGGAGCGGGACGATGGGCGGAGACTGACGGGCGCGCCGGCCAATGAGCGCGCCGGAATCCGGCTCGGGGGCGGAGGCTCCGTCTACGGCCTTCTCAGCCGGCGCGCTGGGGTTCCTGCTTCCACAGGACCGGCCTCCCCGGCTTCGAGGTGGCCGGGCGCAGGGACGGTGTGAAGGGCCGGTCCGCGCGGCAGGACCCCGGAGGGACACGCGGCTCCCGCCGCTCCCGGGAAGGAGCCGGGGCCGGCCGTCCAGGGAGCGCGCATCCGCGCGGCGGGAGCGGCCGGCGAGGCCCGGAATGCGGGCTCGCGCGAGAAGACGCTCTGCGCAGGCGCGGCCGCCGCCGGCGGGTACCAGTCTGCGGCCCAGGAAGCCGGCCGTTGTGTGCGTCCGCGGCCCCCGGTGGAGGAGGGGAGAGAATTCGATGGATCCCCGGCTGCAGGCCGAGAAGCGAGGACGCAGGAAACCACAGGCCTCCGCTTTCGGGGCGCTTTTTGTTGCTTGTTGTTTACTGGAAGGTTCCTCTTAGTTCCTCTGTTGAGGATTGGAAGCTCTGCACATTTCGTTGCCACTCTCGCAGCTTCTGACACAGTTACTGACCCACAGAGCATTTATGGAACATGCCTACTGCCCCAGTGACCATAAATAGACATTCTATGTCCTCTTTCAAAAAATGCACTGCGCCCACTAAATTGCAGCGCCCTGGAAGCTAGAGAGACCCTACTTCAGTAAACCGTACTTATTCTGTTGTTGTTGAGACTGTACACAGCAAAACACAAATGCAATGATTTCTACATAGGCCATTTAGGGACGTTGATAACATTCTTTTGAGTTGTGAAACTAATTTTACCTTCCCTTTTCTTGCCCCTCAACAAATTCATTGCTCCCTAAGGTGCCTATCTACTCATTCAAAGTGTTGTCAACTTCATCCTATATACATAGTTCTTAAAATAGCATAATGCTCAAGGCTGACCATTTTCCCCTCAAACCAACAAAAACAAAAATCCCAAATTCAGTACTATCTAGTTATTTCTAACTCTGTAAAACAGGGTAAAATGTTCCTCTGGCGTTCCAAGACTTTAAATCTTTACAGGGGTAGACAGCCCGATCGTTCTTCAGCAGACCTGAGAGTGGGATCCAACCAGTAATCTTGTGATTAGCATTTCAGTGTGTAGCCCACTATGCCATGAGCTAAAGTCTTATTTGTTCTGAACATGACTGTAAAGAGTATTTCTCTGGGTTTTGGTTACGTGTGGGCAATATCTTCAGGGTTTCCTCACAGCCTTCACAACTCCAGGAAGTATGGAGTCATCCATAAAAATTTGACATTCTGTTCTTTATTTTCCCCATTTTGATTAGGATTCACCTATGGAATCTGGTGAAATGTTCAGTCATGGTAGCTGGGCACCGTGTAGGTTTTCTGGTCTCATGGCAAGAAGAAGCAGTTATTCATGGAGACAGTCACACATTCCCCATCCTCCTTTCCCAACTCTCCCCCTTCCTCTGTGGATTCAAGTGCATACAGACCAAATGTTGTGCTGTTGATGGTGGTCATGTACAAGCTTTTAAGACCCCGGGCTCTATGCAGAGAACTAGCAGGGTCAACCAAAGCACTTGTTTCCATGTTATTAGGCCAATAAACTGGGATGTCCCATGAGACCATGGCCATGACCCTAAACCACCAAGCCAGTAAACCAAATCCCATGAGGTGTTTGGTTGTACATAACAGCTATTCTTTTGTTGTTAAAGTTATATCTACCCCCAATTCAAATAGTTACTGCTATACAACTTATTGACAGCATTTACCAAAATTATCCTGAATGTGCTTTTCCCATCACTGGTAATCCCCTTTCTCTCCTCTCCCTTGCCCCTGGTAACTACCAATAACTTCACTCTCTAGACATTTGCCTTTTCATAGAAGCAAAGTCATTCAATATTTGTGACTCACTGATTTTGCTCAGCAAAATGTCTTCAAGCTCCACCTATAGTGTAGCGTGCCTTAAAGCTTTGCTACTACTTCTGGCTGAGTAGCATGCCAGTGCATGTATGTTTGGTGCAGCGAATTACTTAAATAGGTATTGGTGGAAATATACAAATAGGGTGTATGGAACGCTAACGTGGGGATTGCTCAGTTTTGCCATTCTGCTGGGTGTGAAGTGAGACATTGCAGAAGCTAGAATGGGGGATTTCATGGCCATCAAGAACGAAGAACCACAGCAGAGCACTTCCTTTGGATCCTGAGATCCTTTGTGGGGAACTAGAGGCAGTAACCCTGGCAACAAAGGCACCAAGAGCAGGAGACAAGGCTGTGGGCTTCCTGGCTCACAGGATGAGTCAAGCTGAGTATCTTCCACAGGAGGCTGGCTTGCAGAGTGGGAGGCCTTTGAGGGTATTTCTCAGCACTACAGGAACTTTTTTATATGCCTATGCTGGGCAGAGACTGAGGAGTCACAACATGGCTGGAAAGGTCAAGGATAGGAGAGAGTTGCTGTAAAACGGATGCCGATTGTAGAACTGCTGTGTTCTGACCATCTCTGATCCTGACTTAAAATCTGTTAGCTCTTCTCTGCGTTCACTATGGCCATTAGCAGGGAAGTAGAAAGTGCCTTGGGAGATTAGTGTCAGAATAGGATAAAGAAGTTTGGAGGGTTGGAGGCATGTCTGATCTTTGCCTCATAGAGAGTAGAACTGGAATGATGAATTTGATTCTCCCCTTGTAAAATCTGAGGAACCCTGGTGGCAGAGTGGGATATACTTGGACTGCTAACTGCCAAGTCAGCAGTTTGAAACCACCAGCCTGCTTTGGGGGAGAAAAAGGAGGCTTTCTCCTCCCACTAAAAGCTAGTCTTGGGGTAAACAAGCGGCCATCTAGCTCAGAAGCAACAAAGCCCACATGGAAGAAGCACACCAGCCTGTGTGATCATGAAGTGTTGAAGGGATCAGGTATCAGGCATCAAAGAACAAAAAATCATATCATTGTGTGCTCACCTTCCTGATACGATCAATGAAGACAAAGCAGGTGCATAAGCAAAAGTGGTGAAGAAAGCTGATGGTGCCCAGCTATCAAAAGATAAAGCATCTGGGGTCTTAAAGGCTTGAAGGTAAACAAGCGGCCATCTAGCTCAGAAGCAACAAAGCCCACGTGGAAGAAGCACACCAGTCTGTGTGACCACAAGGGGTCGAAGGGATCAGGTATCAGGCATCAAAGAACAAAAATCATTGTGAATGAGGGGGAGTGCAGATTGGGGACCCAAGACCTATCTGTAGGCAACTGGACATCCCCTTATGGAAGGGTCTCAGGGAGGAGACGAGCCAGTCATGGTGCAGTAGCAATGATGAAACATACAACTTTCCTCTAGTTCCTAAATGCTTCCTCCCACACCACACCCCCACTATCATGATCCCAATTCTACCTTGAAAATCTGGCTAGACCAGAGGGTGTACACTGGTATAGACAGGAACTGGAAAAACAGGGTATCCAGGACAGAAGATCCCTTCAGGACCAGTGGTGAGAGTGGCGATACTGGGAGGGTGGGGTGGAAAGAGGGAACCGATTACAAGGATCTACATTTAACCTCCTCCCTGGGGCATGGACAACAGAAAAGTGGGTGAAGGGAGAAGTCGGACAGTGTAAGATATGACAAAATAATAATTTATAAATTATCAAGGGTTCATGAGGGAGTGGGGAGCGGGGAGGGAAGGGAAAAAATGATGAGCTGATACCAAGGGCTCAAGTAGAAAGCAAATGGTTTGAGAATGATGATGGCAACAAATGTACAAATGTGCTTTACACAATGGATGTATGTGTGGATTGTGATAAGGTTGTATGAGCCCCCAATAAAATGATTAATAATCATTAAAAAAAATTAGTCTTGGGGCCCTAAAGGGGTCGTTCTACTCTGAATCCATCCAATGGCAGTGAGTTTGGCTTGTTTGTTTGTTGTTGTGAAACCTGAGGAAGTCACACTATTCTCACAGTATGGATTGCATTTTGTTTATCCATTCATCTGTGGGAGAAAGAAATCCCCAACTTCCCCATCTTCAGTAAATCAGGGAACAAAAGGCCATGAGGTTACTAAGTAGCCAGAGCACAAGCTGACAGCTGACGTGGGGATGGAATCATGGGCATCTGATTAATCCAGGGTGGGAATGGAAGGGAATCTGCCGCAGTGGTAGGAATGTTAAAGAAAGATTGTTAACCCCATAGTACTCAGCCAGGGTGGATCCCTGGGGGATCCCAGTGGCTACTCTGTATGGTCAGCTGTAGGAAACGCAGCGGCTCTGAGGGAGACAGACTGGGCTTTCTAATCTCAGGTACAGTCTCAGAAACCCACAGGGGGTCGCT